CATGGACATCCCTAGTGAATTAGGTAAGAGGAACTACTTATTGTCAGGCGACTGTCTCTCTGATTGGCGCGACACCGCTTCACGATCATGGCAAAGTATCACGATTTGTAAAATTCGGGTGAATGTTACTCCCAAAAAATCTCCCTTATGAACGACCACCCCTCCTCTTTACACAACGTCTTTCTCCGAAATTCTATAGGAGGTACAGGTCACTACTTCCCCATGGCCAGCGTAGATTGCTTTCTCGAGGAGCTGTGTTGAAGTTTGAAAATAAAGGCATTCGAAGCCATCACTCGGGGCTCGGAGAATCTATGCTTCAGAAAGTATTGAGACTGGCAGATGAGATTTTGGGTCTAGATTCTGGGTGAAAAGCAAAAAGCTTCGGCAAATGCTGCTGTACTGCTTTACGATGTAGCTCGAAAGAAACTCTAAAAATATTGTTGTAAATAGTGATAATTTCAGTTCTTTGGTAGTCTCAGACTCTTTTCCAATACTAATTCCTGCCCGGGCAATCCCAAACTACAAAACCGCCACAGTTTTGAGCATCCGTTATGCTAATTACGGTAGCGACAGCGGTATTGTGCAATCACGTCAGTCAAGGCGCGAAATTTATTGTTTTGAATGAACATTCTGCCTCTTATTAGTTTACAAGTTTGCAAGGTGTTTTAACTTGGGTTCCATGTTACTCACACATTCTCGAACAGTATCTCTTGTATTAATTTTGTTGCTTAAAGCCTTGATTTCTCCTAAATTAAGCGCTATATTTGAGTAGGTGGTTTTCATTAAAATGTCAGTGATCGATCCTTATAACGGATCAACTGCCTAGTAATTTTGATGTGACTTTTTGAGCAATTTACATGTGCTGCTCCACCTTGAATACCTTCTAAGTCAACGAGCTGATCCCCTTGGGCAAAGTGCAGGATAGCATGAGGTCAACAAAAACAGCTAATTCTCTCTATATTTCGGTTGAATAGGCTTGAGCGTTCGCTCAAGGTTTGGAGCTCTAGCTATAGTTACCTGCTATTACTAAAAGATGAATATTTCCATGCAGCACCAAGGCAAGGACCTGTTAGGAGAAGTGTAACGGGAGCTGTGATGGGCTTTCCGAAATGGGTCCGGAACCGATCGGAGATTGTTTCAATGGAGAAGAGGATGCAACAGTTCCTAGTGCGGTGCCCCTCTCCGCTACATTCTTTAACCTGCAATATTTCTCCTTAGGAGGCGGGGGGAGGGGGAAGATGATGTCATAAGTGGTAGGGAGGCAGATGGGAAATTGGACTTTTAGACTGAACAGATTTGTAGAGGAAGACACAATATAGGAAAGAGAGTAACGGGATAGGTAAACATTCCTAATAGTGTTGTGGTGAGGTCCCTAAATCCCTTGAGATGAATCCTTGAAGCCCTGTCTTCTCGACCTGTTTGTCCGGACTCTCTGTATGAGATCAATACATATTCCTTCATCAATCACGTAATTCAGTGAAGCGCGTATTAAGCACGACAATGGAGGTCTTTGATACAGGGTACGATTAGTGCTTTGGGATACCTTGAGAACGGTGTTTATTATCAAGAACCAGATTGTTACGGTAAGCATTTCTCAAACTACACTCTTTTGGTCAGATATGTTTTCATAAGACAGCGTATTTATGTACTTTGAAGCGCTACTGCTGCCTGGGTTTGAGGCAGGTGCCTGGGCCGCACTTTCTCTCGCAGGCGTCTGCGTTTATTCAGAAGAGCAGTGCTCATAACATTGCGTCAGGCGTTTTCAGTGACTAGGCCATTATAGTATCATCTAAGTACTTTCGATCGCCGCAAATGCTGGCCGAGCACTCAAAACGCTGCATCGATACCTATGCTTTTCTAGTCTCTGGAGGCGCTCAACGCGCCGGTTTAATACCTACACATACCGTGCCGTTCGGAACCCTGTAAAGTCCAACAAGCTGACGCGAAGTATGAACGCACTTTAACTGTTGAGCAGAGCATTCCGAAGTCGAGGGTTTACCATTTCAAAGAGAGGGTGAAGACGAGCAAGCCTGATAGCGTCACCGAGTGCTCTCTAAACTCCAGCACCATAGAAAATCGCAAAATTCTGGAATTGTGGCAATCGAGGGTTCCTGTTCCCCTTAAAAAACGCTTTCAAAGTTCCCTTCCTCTCAAATAGACTACCTTTTTCCCTGGAACATTTATTCGTAACTGGCTTGTTATTGCGTTTGAAAATCAAGACGTCCCATTTCAGAAACTATACGTGACTTGATTCGATTCCTTCGGACCGACAGTAAAGTGTTGCTGGCTCGGAAGATTTGTGGAGAGCGTAACATTATCGAAAATGATCTCATACCTATCATCAAGTCAGAAAATCCTCAAGGACAACATGTTTGACATTACCCTCAGGTCGGTTTTAAACTCTGCGTTTTTTTTATTATTGTTCTCGATATGTCCTAATCCGTGCTCGTGCCTTGCGCCACTGTAAGAGGTTGGGGAATCAAATAATCGGAGAAATTGGATTGGACAAAAACAAAACAAATTGGACAACAATTGGACATGTATGGGTTGACTCCATCCGTGGAGAACTGGCTAAAGTTGTCTAAAGAACCCTGAGTTTACTCGATGCGCATCTGAGCCTTTGCGTGATTTTTCTTTTGCTCTAGTGGCTGAAAAGACGTTCGCTTAAACCTCCGCTTTTGGCTTGTTTCGAGTGGTGATTAATTTTTCCTCAGTTCATGATCAAGGTGGTCAAGGATAATCCTCAGGTGGGCAGACGCTCAGTCCCCGCCAAAACTCGAACATGAAGCTGGTCTTGCCGGACTTATGTGATAACACACTCCAAATGTGATATAACACTACACCACCACGTCTTTCTTGCTACTTGGCTGACCAATCAACCCTAATTAGAAAAAGTCCAAGGAGTCCTCGGGGGAGGGGGGGGAAAGTGGTTCTAAAATTTTTGCCCGTAATTCAGCATTTTTGCAATGACCTCTGGTGTAAGTCAGGTTAAGCTGACTGCGGAGGACTCCTGATTTCCGTGCGGAGAACTTTAAAGTGTTTCCACGGTCACAAGCCAAAATTTGCATGGTTTTGTACAGGTACGCTGCGTCTTAAGAACAGCCATATTTCCACTTAGAGTATTTCAAGAATTGTTGGCGAATGCCTCACTCAAACGCGGCAGATAGTGAGCCTCAAGGAAAGGCAACACCAGAAGATCGCGATGAATGGCAGTCTTATTGGATTTTGGAGGAAAATCTCCGACGTGGCTAAACTCGCCTTCGCTGACGTAAAATTCTTCACCGCTCTGAAGAAAAGGCTTGAAAAGTATTTTATAGAAACGGTGAGAGGCAGTTGACGGGTTCCTTCAGCATAGTTAAGATTTACTGGATGGAAAACTAAATACAAAAAGGTGCAGGAGTGGTGGGAGGACCGCCTTGAAGAGGAGCGTCTTGTTATGGAAAGAATCGTTGTCTTGTTGCGTTATATTTTTTCGATTCCGCCGACGGACAGAGATGGAAAACGTTTGTTATCCTTTTGGACTCCTTGTGTTCTCCACCTTTGATTCTCGTATTTCTTCAGAGAACCGTCGCTGAGTCCAATAGCCACGATAGGGTGATTACGGCTTTTCTGGACTCCGGAATAGATAAGGTTGTCGACCTATCCCCTTTCCAACCTACTTAGGCCCTTATTTCTGGTCTTCAGGTACTGACAAATATCGCGACGCAGTCAAAGGAGCAAGAATTTCACTTATCCATTATGGTCATTTTTGCGCTTATTCTCAAGGAACATGTAAGTTTTTTTGGTAGAAAATCCTCGTATGCAGCAGTTCGTGCTTCAGAGAGACTGTATTCTCACCTCGGAAGACGGTCCTTGCCATGTGCGAGGTGAACAGACCCACAGCTGCAGTAGCATGCCACTCCGCTCCGCTCAGAAGTGCACGGAAGTGAGACTGGAGGGTAGTGATACCCATGTGCCCCCTTCCCCATACTCCGCCTGCGCTCGATGTGCAGCACTTACATCGATACCAAGTACCGCACTCAGCGGTAGAGAACAACCAGAAGTATTGAGCGCAGACAAGTAGGCGCGTTTGGCCATGGTTAGGCGCGTGGCTGGCCGTTCTGCAGCGCGGCAAAGTATGGAGACGGCATACGGATGTTAGTACTCTCCAGCTCGTTCCCGTGCACTTTTGACCTGAGAAAGTTGCATATTACACCTGCGGACCCATTCACCCTATATCCGGCAAGGGCCAGAGTATACCGAGGTGAGAGTACAGTTTGTCTTCAAGGGCATGTTTCACGGTTGAATGGAGATTGGCTCTATTTCATATGCAATGGGGGCAGAAAACTGCGGTGCCGTAACACTTCCGCTTCAGAAGTGCGTGGCAAGGAACATAGAGGATTATGGTGGGTGTCACTGGTGCCTCCGCCCTTTCGCCACCTGATTGTTGTGAGGTTACACAATACCTCCTGTTCTTCTGCGCCTTCTCACTGAAATAGTGTTCGGTGGGTTGGATTTTGAGGACTCCACGTGTGGGCCTAAATCACCCTTACTGAGGTCTCAGAATCAAGGCCACCATTCCACTATTTCGGTGAGAGGAGATGAGCAGCGCGTATGACCATCTGTCGTAGGATGGGTGGAGACATTGTGACATCATGCAATCACGAACATCTAGCTTGATTGTCACTAAATTAAGGGTCGTGAAAGTTATGCAGGAGGCCCTCACACCTCGTGCCACTTCTGCAGTTGAGCAACTTGTCTCTATTAAAAGTTTCGCTCAGAAACCAGCTGACATCGTTTCTGCTGGACGAGGTAGAACTGAAGCTGAGAAGGAGCAGGCTGAAGAAGAATTGCGACAAATACTAGAAGCTGAGAAAGCAAAGCTTGCAGCTCAAAGGAGAAAGATACTGTCAAGCAGACATTCGAGGTACGCATTCCAGAAAAATTTGTTTTCCACTGATCTGAGGTCACATTTTTGTGGAGTTGTCGGAGACGCGTGGGATAATTGTAACCAATCCTACAAGATTACTTGTACTCTTTGCGTGATCCAGTGGCAAAACGTTATAGCGGAGACAGATAGCGTCTGCCAAAACATCGGGACATGCAAAAAAAAAATGGATCGCTAACCCGGGGCTTGAGGGTTGGGTGTGCTTTTCATGATACGGGAAAAGCTGAAATGTGTGAGTTTGCAGTAGTCACAGAAGCTCGCGT